AAATCTAAGTCTATAGAATGGCCAAACTGTGAGAATCCTCTGCTCCAACTTAAGACTTCATTTAGGATAGCTTTTTTATTTCTTTATAAAGTAACTTTTTAGTACAAAAATTTTACATTTAAAAATTTTTTGTTTTGAATAATTAACTGTTTTAAGAAGTAGTAAGAAAGTATTCTCAAACGGAACCTAAGATGCTTTCTGGACCGGCCTATCGCTCACTCTTTTCTGACCTTTTTTAAGTCAATGTTATTAGTATCTAAAAATTTCTATATTAAGAATGTTGAAGAAATCTCTAGAATAAGTTTGGAAGTAGAAATCAATTTGGAAATCTAGAAACCTTCATTTGCTGAAAAATTGTACATAAAAATTATCGTAAAAACATGTAAAAGAAGCTAGATAGTAGGAAGTTGGATGTAGAATCCTCCATGTACTAGTATACATAGGCCTTATGCTTTTCCTTTTTGTACAAACCAAGTTCAAGAGTAAATAGTTTAATTAAGATAAGCTTAAATACTTTCTTCCTCTATCATCCATTCATCCCCGACAATAAGGTTATTGGATTAGTCGAAGAAGAGCAAGGTTTAAAGGAAGATGATGAGTGACATGAACCTATAAGTATTTCAACTCAAGGAGAACTGTGAGAATTGGAGTATCTAAATAAAGATGTTTTTTGGCTCGCAAGATATTTAGGAGCTAGTAGAAAAAAGTAATATTGAGTCTAAAGAATGAAGCAACATTATCGATAGCCCAAAGGGAAGAAAAGTCTAAAGAATAACAAGAATGCAATCTTCATCATTTACCAAGTCGATCTTAGATAAAGGTAATTTTGAGAAGGTGCATCTACCTCAAAGCAAGTATGGGGGATGCTCTAGATTAGCTACTAAAGCTTAGAAAACATAAAAAAAGGTTCGGCTTCAAATACTGCAGGTTGTATTTGATGGCTATAAATAGAGGCATAGAATGTGAAGGACTGTTTCACAAGAGTCTTAATCTTGATTAATCAACTACTAAGGTATGGAGAAAGTTTAGTTGAAATTTGGGAGAGAGAAAAAATTATGTACTTAGTGAATGACAAATTTGAGAATATTATGGTAGCTATTGAAAAAGTAAAACACTTAAAGAGTTTATTTCCATTTATGGCATGTGGGTTTTTTGATGGCATATGATTGAAGAAAGAATAAGAAAAAATTAAAAAAATGAAAACTACCACAAATTAAAGTGAAGGAGAACTAAGTGCTCATGACATCTATAGGTGTGGCCATTGTTATGATTATGGCTATGTAAGAAGCTTAGAATCTGGTTATGGAGGATATGAAAAAAATTATAAAAAAAAAAAGTTAAAAATCAAGCCATGGATATAAAAAGAAAGAGCCAAAATTTTGAAGGTATAATAAATTTCTATTCATTTTTATATTTTTAGGAAAGTCGGCTATTATGCTTTCAAATGTTATCACTGAAAGGAAAATCAAGAAAGCACTAACTTGGTTGAGGATAATCAAGAAAAAATGAAGAATCTTTTGTATTGCTAACTTGTAAAGGAGAAAAAACATGAAAAGGAAAATAATTAATACTCAGATGCTAGAGCCAATAATCATACGTCGTATTATAAAAATATATTCATAAAAAAGGAGGAAATTGAGAGCCAATTTTATTTCAAAGTATTCAAAAGCTTTTGTTACAAATGTTTCATGGTTGTAGCACATCAGCCTTGAGCATATAAATTGTATAGGCCTAAATAATATGTCAAAGAAATAGATGGTTCATTCATTAGTAGCTTGTCATCCATCAACCATCAAAATTAGATTTGTGAAAAAATTTTATCTAATTCCAACTAACCTAGAAAAGATTTTTAAATGAAACAAAATTTATGAGGAAAAAAACTACTTTCATTAGTAGAAATAAATGCATGCAGAGCAATTTCCCCGTCATCTTTTGTAAAGCATCATCATTATTTTCCCACATCAGTTGATGTTTATGCAAGAAAAGCTTGACTCTATCTTTTTAAGAAAAAAATTAGAAGCTTTCGCCATTTTTAAGAAATTCAGGGCAACTAACAAGAAACAAAGTGGCTATCCAATAAAATATATTCAATATAATCGAGGTTGTGAGTTCATTTTCAAAATAATTAAAAAATGTATGAAGGGTGAGACATTTAACATCAACCAACAATATAATTTTCACCAAAGGAAAATGGTGTGCAATATGAAAAAATTGCACTATAATCAATATTGTGAAATATATTATTAAGACAAAGGGTATACCAAATTTTATGCAAGGCATGACTCTTGTAGTCTATACCATCAATAATACCCAATTCAAGCTTAAAGGATATGGTGCCTCTAGAATCATAAATAGTGAAAGACAAACATATCGCACTTAAACGTATTTTTGAGTATTGCACATGCATATATTCTTGAAAAAAAGGACCAAACTAGATTATATAAGCTCCAAGTTCTTATGCATTGAGTACATATTAGAGTTTATAAATAATTTAATTTTAACACTTAAGAAGCCATTTTTAGTAGTGATGTTGAATTCTATGAAGATTGATCATAAGATTGAAAAAAATAAGAATGAAGTCATTCAATATGAAGAGCAAATACCAATAGAGCTATAAGATCATTCACTACATTCTTCATGCTTCTCCTTGTCAATCTTTTGAAAACAATCAAAAGCAAAGGAAATGCAAGAAACCTTACCATGCTTTATGAAGTGGGCAATAAATTTTACTTTATTTTTTTATTCATAAATAGTGAGCAATAGGAATTTGAAGAAGTCATATATGATGAAAAGTAGAAAGACAAAATGGATAAAAAAAATCTAGTCATTAGTGAAGAATGATATATGGGAGGTCAAAACTCTACAAGAAAAATAAAAGCAATTAGTATAAAATGATGTACAAAATAAAGAAGAATATAAAGGGAGAAATTGAAGAGTACAAATTATAATTGATGGCTAAAGGATATAGGCAAAAAAGTATGCATCAATTATGATGAGCTAGTTTCCAATATATTGGCACAAAAACTATTCATTTAACAGTTTTTCTTTCTCCACAAAAGTGTTAAGTCTTTTTGTCTTGGATTTTTTAATTGACTTTTGAAGAAGAAGAAGAAAGAGGAAAATGAGACAAAAGAAGAATATGGTGAGCAATCCTTGGCATATATAAAAAAGGGCTATGAATCAAAATTTTATAAATTAGAAAAAAAAAAAAGCTTTTAAATAGGCAATAGCAATCAACAAAAACATGGAATATAATAATCGATTCTTACTTTAAACAAAATGAATATGAAATTTTAAAAATTCATCATATAAAAAGACAAATTTAAACACTAACTCTTCTATTTATTTATGTTCGTGAATGCATTCATTAACAAATAAATAAAATGTTATACAAATGAATGCTTATTAAATAATTTCTTTTAAATTGTATTTGGTTTATAAGAAATTTAATTTATATTCCTGCGAGAAGAGGGCATGTGAATATAAGAATTTAAAAAAAAATAGAATTGGACAAAAAATTATTAATAAATCAATTAATTTGATTTAAATTTGACATTGTATAATAAACTTAGGATTTATAAAATCAAAATTAAAAAAATAATTATAATACCATAACTTTTTTATATTTTTTAATAATTCAATGATTTTAGAAAATTATCACTTAAATTTAAGGAGAAAATCTATAAAATGGTGGTTAGACCTGCAAATGTTTTATGGTGCAAAATATTGGTCATTAAAAGAGAAGCATAATATTAATTAAGTGTTGCATAGATGAGAATGCTCCGGTGTATGAGTGGTTTTACTCTTTAGAGACATAATATATAATGAGCATATACGTGAAAAGGTTGGAGTAGGCCCGGTGGCAGATAAGATTAGAAAGTGTCTTAGATAGTTTGGTCACATAAAACGGAAGCCTTCCGATGACTCGATTAGGCGAGTAGATGTATTAGATTTAACTTATATTAAGAAATGTAGAGGTAGACATAAAAAGACTTGGTTAGAAAATATTGACCTTTCTTTATTAGATCTAAATGAGAATTTGTCTCTTAATTGGACACAATGGATAAAAGGTATTCATGTAGTAGATCTCATGTAGTGGGATAAATATTTGATAATGTTGTTGTTGTAATAATTCAATGATTTACAACAAAAACTATTTAATAAAATAAGCCCAACTATTTAAATTCACTTGGAATCAAAATGGCCAAATAATGTGAAATTGTAAGTTGTTGAATAAAATTTTGGCCGAATTTATGAATTTGGTTTGTTGATTAATTGGCCATGGCAATTAAATTTTGATTTCAAATTCAACTATACACAAACATCTAAATTTAGACTCCATAATAATTTGATACTCATTCATATAAAATTTATTTATGCTTATTTATTTACAAAACTCGATTTTCTTTAAATAAAATTTTAAAAAATCATCATATAATATTTTAAACAGTAACTCTTCTATTCATTTATGTTCATGAATACATTCATAACAAATAAATACAGGGTGATTTACATGCATATCACTTTATTTTATAATATTTACAATATCAAATATCAAAAACATTAATATTACATGCCTACCACCCATAGTACAAATTTGAGTGTATGAAATGAAATATTAAAATTTAAAAGATGATATGAATGCAAGAAATAAAATATTTAAGTGGTATGTTTAATATTAAAATTATATATATGTGATAGACATATAACATTAATATTTTGGATGTTAAATATATTAATAACATGAAATAAAATGATATGTATGTTAATTTCTCATAAATAAAATGCTAAACAAATGATTGCTTATTTAATAATTTATTTTTGTACCAATTTTTTATGCCTTACACTTTAAAAACATGAAAATTTGGATAATACATTCAATAAATAAAATTTTATAGCCCAAGTAATATTCAAACTCTTCAAAAATTTGATTTAGAAGCAATAAAAAATCGTCCCAAACAAAACTTATATCACTCTAATTGAACAGTGCAAAATTAATATAAGCTACCATCAAAAGTTCTTTCGCAATCAATAAATTACTTCTAATACATCTACTCTTCTAATCGGATCATCAAAAGTCCGATATTCTATGCAAGGCAATTCCCTCTAATTTTATCTGCCACAAGCTACTCCTACATTTTCATATATATAATTATGTTACAAGTAGAGGGTCAAGTTTAATGTCGACAAATTTAAATAATAATAATAATAATAATAATAATAATAATAATAATAAATTAAAATTAAATTAAAACAAAATTGGTTTGCATGCATCTTCTAATATGAAATTAATTGACTACAAGTACAAGGATGCAGCAAATACTATATCACGCTTGATCTTCTTGACAGCCTCTTGAAACTTCTCTTCCAGTTCCGTTTCTCCTATTGCTTTGGCCGCAAAGGTTAATTGTTGCAGAATCTCCTCTAGTCTTCTGATGGCCCTAATCAAACTACCTTCGAATACTGAGGAGAGCTCCATAATCTCAAAGAACTTTGATCCCTTTGCCCATGCATAAACAGCCTCCATGACATCCGAGCGAAAGGAGTTCACAAAACTATCAATGTCCATTTGCACCTGCCAAGCAATATTTGTTTCAGATTTTTTTTGCTTTGAGAGCTCTTCACATCTATTTATAAGAAGTTCAAGTTAAAACCATGGAGAAATTATTCTGTGCGGAGTCTGGATGAGAAGAACCGTCTGGAGTGTGAGTGCACATACTGTGTACACATAGTGTGTATAAAAAATTGATACACATTGTGTACAATGTGTACACCCACATATCCGGACGATTCTTTCCGTCCAGACTCTATACAGAATAAATTCTCTAAAACTATGGGCTCTATTGAGATGGCTGCGCCTATTTGTAAAAAAAGTTCTAAAATTATTGGGTGAAAAATAATTTTTTAGAAGCTGTTGCAGGTATTATAAGTTTTTTTTTTTTTTTCATTTTAGAAACAAATAGAGTAGCAGCATTTTAAAGCTATCATATTCTAACATAAATGATTGTAGAAAACAATTCCGCACTACAAAAATTTCTAAAAAGTGGCAAAAAAATTTGTAGCTAAAAGAAAGCATGACAATGGTTTGAAAAATCTAGGGAAAAAGCTGGTTCAAGCGGGAGGAATTATTCTGTGTGGAGACCGGACGCAGAACGCCGTCCAGAGACCAACCATAATGCACCACATCGGCGGTACCGAGCCGCGGTACTGAGTAGTACCGAGTCACGGTACCGAGCATAGGGATGACATGGCGCATTCTAATTAATCTCCGGAATGCGTTTAGCGTCCGCACAAAATAATTAATCTCCAAGCGGACCCCTATAGCCAAATAAAGCCATTGTTTTGGAAATATATAAATAAATACAGCTAAAAGAAAATTCATTAAAATGAGATGATAAAATCCCTCACTTGTTCACCTGAACTTTAAGAATGTCTAGGAAAATTCGGAATCAATGGGGAGACCAGTTATAAGCGTGGTACCTTGCAGTCTAATTGCACATTGGCAACCCTCCTTGCTGTTTCTTGTAGCTGAGAGAATAGCAATTCTAGTTCTTCTCTTGGTTTAGGAGCATCCTGCAGCTTCTCTTGCCAGACAAAACATGAGAGAAGAGCCACCATTTCCTCAATACTGATATCCTTAAATGAACCACTGAACATAAGCTCTGTTAGGATCAATTCATCAGCGGAGCTGATCTCACAAGCAACTTGACCTTTCACCATTACAACATCCTCGCTAGTAATGTATCTGAAGCCAATTAAATATGATATTGTATCAGAAAAAAGACATCAGAATTTCCTCCATATGAACATAAATGATCATTTTTTAACACTGGGAGAGAAATTAAATTAGAAGAAACATTCTATCAGTTAAAAAATAGCAAAGTTCAAGCACGGGTTATGCTTCAGTTCTATGGGCTTCCCTATCTACTAGGATGACAACTGTTAGAATTGACAGAATTATTATTACACAAATTTATCCCTATTTATAGATCTATTTAGGATATCTTAATAAAGAAACAAATAAATACAAAATTATTCATAATTGCGCTAATATAATCCTTCCTAAATCAACCACCCAAATATGGAAGGAGATTGGCGTAATCCAAGTGGGCCTTCCACGGATCTCCATCCTTGGCCGTGGGATCAAGGGCCAAAGGGATGATTGGGATTTTAACAACAACTAACAAACCTTTATGCTCAATAATATGTTTTCAATGAAATGGCTTATTATAGAGACCTTTTTGTTCGAAAAAAATAATAGGAAAAAGATAAAAGTTATCACCCTAATCTTCGAAGAACCCTTTTGCGTGCTTTGAGTTCATCTTTGAAAGCTAAGGCGGTGGAAGAGCGCATTGATTTCTTCACTAACTTGATCTTGGCTGACAATTCCAGTTTATCATGAAATACTTGTAGGTTTTGCTGGATAAGTGGGGAATTTCGGATTTCATGTTTTTCAAATAACCGATCCAAGGCCTCTATCCTTCTGACAGCTTTTCTATACGAGTTACTTTGTACCTAAGAACATATAACTGTTAGGAATGACAGTTCATGTAAGAAAAATATACAAATAAACAAAAAGAACTTACTTTCATATCTTCTTCAGGATCTAAAAGAGGAATCCCATCCTTCAAGAATCTGGAGTAGACTTCTGAAAGAACCTTGAGCATGTTCTCTCGAGCTTCTAATGGTACAAGATCTTTGGGTATGTAAAGCCGAACGACACTCAAACTAACAATCTAAAGAACAAATAGACATATTGATCACTTGAATAGAATAAAAGCTCCGATCAATCAGATAAAAAAAAGGGTAAGATACAAGGAGGTCACAATACCATAGGTTTTTCACAATTGACCAAAGTAATAGCTAAAAACTAGTTGTAAATCTCCAGATAAGAGTATGTAGAAATTCCTTCCCTTTGGACTAAAATACAAATAGAAAAAAAAGAAGGGAAATGTGCAGACTACGTATACAGAGTCAAAACTTGACCCCCTAACTGTACTCTGATCCATCCTAGTTGGACCTCCTTATTTTTCCCTCCCAACATAACGGCCACAAGTTCAAAAACAACTTTTATATCTTTTATGGGCATTATCATTAACCGGAAGATACTTGAAACGTACATATACATACCCTAATACTTAAATGGCCCGCAGCAAGTTTTCAGGAAATTAGGGATCCAGATGTTACATCGAGAAAACTTGGAGGATAGTGTAATAATCTTTTAGATTATTTTCATAGAAGTAAACATAGCTCACTAGAAAAAGTTAAAACTAATTCAAGAAACATAAATGTGAACAATCATTACCTGAGAGAGAGGCACCGATACCACAAGAGGCTCTCCCTGCTCTTTTAGATGAACTATTTTTATAGACTTCTTTGTCTCTGATTCTTTAGCAACCATGCACCTCGTCAAGACATCAACTGTGTATTGTGAATCCTCGGGTCTTTTATCTGCAGCTGGTCCAAAAAGAAAAAAAAATTAAACAGAGAAATAATCTTCCAAAGATCTTAACTTGTGTACATCATGCATTATCAAATTTCATAAACGCTAAACCAAATAATAAACCCCACACTAGTAAGTTAAACAATATCACTTACCTTCATTGAGGTTGTTAATCTTTTGGAAATTAACTATTATTCCCCATGTAACTGGTTCATGTGTGAAGAATGAAGGCCTTTTGTCATTACTAGCGTACAATAGAGACACTAGCCTGCCAGGTTGTAAGTATGGTAGACAATACTTTGGAGCAAACACAATATCATGAACATCTTTCTTTAGGCTTCTATACTGCTGCAACAGATTGAAATAGTCCTTCAAGCTATCTTCTTCTTCTATGACAATAGAGTCCCTCTCTCTTGTCAATTCTTTTACTTGTTTCTGTAAATAATGTTCATGATAAAATCAATAAATAAGAAAATAAAACAAGTGGTAGTTACAGTCTCAAATTTTATCTTTTTTTTTCATATTAATAAAGCAAGATTTTTTAAACTATTCCACTTTACAAGGATATATTTTCCATAACATGACTAGTGTTCCCTCTTCATTTATCAAACCTTTACTAGTTTGTGGTTACATGCAAATTAATCCACCAACCTCGAGATCAGGAAGAGCCCGATCAGCTTGAAACTGATAGAATGAATGTCGGAGAAGCTTCTCTGGATCACCATCTTCACAGCGAAATTGATTCAATAGCATATTGTAGCTTAAGTGAAAGGCACTGGTACAAGTTGATAATGTAAGGCATCTTGTATTTAATAACAAAAAATGGGGAAAGAGAAAGAACTTTCCCAAAAAATCACAGATGAAATGTTTACAATAGAATAATTTATATGGTACTATTTAATAAACTCATTGCATTAGTGAAAGGGTTCGAAGCAATGTCCAGGACAAACCGAGGAGCAAAACAGAAAGTAAATTCTGCACCACAAAAATTCAAGTGAAAAAGGACATCTTCATTTTGGAATAAAATCTCAAAAATAATTTGTGAGAAACATAACATTATTGATTATTTTTTTATAAAAAAAGTCGAAAATTTTGAAAACATGGTAAAATGAACCAATACAGTATAATTAAAATTAAAAATACAATTAGAGTTCAATTTCAATATGATTATGTCAAAACAAAAAGAGAGTCAACATTCAAGCATGAATGAATGCAAACATAAAAACAAATAAAAAATACCTATTTAAGAAATCAGCACTTCCTTTTAACATCATTTTTGCAGTTGAAGGCTCCATTTTTTCATCTACCATAAGAATGCAAATACCTCGCTGATCAATACCTCGGCGGCCAGCCCGACCACTCATTTGAATATACTCCCCACTGGATAACCATCTGAATTTATCCCCATCAAATTTACGAACGTTGGTGAACACTACAGTTTTTGCAGGCATATTCAAACCTATACTGAATGTCTCTGTAGCAAACAAACACTAAAGTGGAAATTATAATCACCCATCAATATCATCAGAGGTCCATGAAGAATAAATTACTCAAAAAATCAATGTATTTCCATAACCAGATGGGGAACAACCTAAAAACAGTAGATATCTAAGCAATATCTAGTACCCATCAAAAAAGCATCTTTACAAAAAGAGCATAAAGTAAGGCATATCAGCAGTTGGTGTAAGAACTACTTTACTGGAATGAATAAATCAAACAAAAGGAAATAGAGAGAAGCTGACATTAGAATGAATTAATCAAGCAAATGGAAATAGAGAGAAGCTGAACAAAGGTTAATGTAAGATGTTCCAAAATTATTTATTAAAAACAGAAAACGTGAAAATCCGCATTTCTTTAGTTAAGAAAATAAAGTTCATCAATCAAGTTTAATTTTTCTTCAGAAAAGAGTTAGTCTTATCAAGTAAGACTCCAGGTCACAAAAAAAATAAGGTAGCAAAAGATTGGCGAAGTTTAAGATCCATCACAACTGACAACCCCGAAACTGAAACATCCTAATTTTGATTCACCCATCATTACATATCTAGCAGGAAATCCACTAGAAGTATAACTTATATAGATCAATTATCGGCATAGATACAAAAGCTAACATCCTTTGTTACAAAATGTGGAAATCCATTAAAAACTAAATAATGAGTTAAAGTAAACACTGTAATAAAAAAGTGAGCAAAAAAATTGAAGTAAAAGATATTTCAATTATCAACAGAACCATAACTTACCAAAAAGCAACTAAAGAAATTATCCAAACTAGATGCTCGTTCAATTAACAAATGCCGAAGTCCTCTCAGGCATCAATAGCCTTGTTATAAAACAAAGGTTTAGGCTTTGTTTGGGAGTGCTTTTTTATTGCTTATTGAAGCAGCTTTTTAATACAAAAAATATTTTGTATTAAAAAGCTGCTTCAATAAGCAATAAAAAAGCACTTCCAAACAAAGCCTTAGTGAAGGAATGAAATGGAAGCCCAATAATTTATGGAGGTTGTTGCTTCTAAATCTGCAACCATTAATTTAACATTTACAATCCCTTATTTCCAATTTCCTTCCACTCAAATTCCTGGCATCCAAAGTCCAAACACAACTAAATGTTACTAATATTTTGAAGTAGTACCCATAAAACCAGTACCAACTAAAAAGGATACTTATGATGCTGGATACCATGTTACAAAATAATGTAGTTACACACAGATATAAATGCCAATGATTGTAACCCTAGAACAAAATAGAGGAATTCCACTTCCGAACTTCTGTAAGAGAGGGTTCAGAGGCTGGTACATTAAGCTGATTTGTAGAAGTATTCTTAGAGACTGGGACAAGTCTCCCAAATGAGTTTATGTGGTAGCCTCTATGCTCTTCCTCGTAGAAGTTTCTACGAGGAATTAGCCAAAGGAACTGCATCTGGTCCCATGTCAGCTTTGTACAAAAATTCTATAGACCACTAAAGAAAATATCAGCATTTGATGGACGGTAATCCATCATTATCTACTTTAGGCATTTTTAGGGAATTTCCCATCCTTTTTTTTTCTGTGAGATTTGCTACATGATTCTATCATAGTAATCTGACTGAAAACTTAAGTTGATCTCCAACCTACCATGGAAGTCATTAGCAAACAAAAGAATATTTGGCAACTTCTCCTGCAGTCAAAGTTCAAGCACCATATTGAATAAACTCATAAACTGTACAAATCTTTACAGAAAATGGGATTGTTTTGCTCACTGCAAGTAAATGACACTATCTTCCGCTGATACAAAGAAATGAGCATGACCAAAACAAGAAGCTAGCCTGCCCCAAAGGGTTGGATAAAGCTAACTATGATAATTATGAAGATCACGCAGATAGTGACACAGCTCTGGTAAATTTAAAAAGTTAAGTTAAAAGTGTGAACTAATACCTACCTATCAAGGATTATATTATCAAAAAACACAAAAAACGACAGTAAGGCTCAAGAGTCATTGACTAAGTCAAAACCATAGAGAAAAAGAATATAAATATTCAAAAATTAAGTAATCCATGTATGACGAAATAGCATTAAAAACAACAGCAATGAGAGGGCCATTGAATAACTTAAAAACACCTGAAAAAAAAATATATCAGTACTCAAAAAATTAAACATTCAATGTATGAGGAAGAAGAGACATACTGGAATATGAAATTCAACTCAAAACAGCACTAACCAAAACATATGCCTACCTTGATTAGACCTTCTTGAAAGAGTATCTCAATCACTTCCTTCAGAATAGGAAGAAGACCAGAATGGTGAACCCCAATGCCCCGTTTTAACAAGGGTAGAATGTTTGAAACCTGAAAAGAAGCATAAAACAGAATCAGAATTTAAGGTGAAGCTCAATTAAAAAATGCATATTGGTTAACAGCAGTTATCTCAAATAAAGGCAAGATCAAGATAAGACGAACATTAAGTAATTAAGAAAATATAAAATCTCGTGAAACGAACAAAATAATAAGACATATCTACACTATAAGTACTCCTGCATCGAAAAAAAAAATCTTGTTGAAGCTTCATATCAAGATTATATAATTTCTACCAATTAACTACACATTTTGTTGTCCTTCTGATATATCTTTGATACAAGAAAGATAGAAATATTGGAAAAAGCGTCAAAGAATAGTAGAAGTGTCCATTAAAAATAATTTTGATCGTTCATGATTAAACAAAAATTTGACAAATCTAAAGTTAAAACACAAAAGAAAAAGGAACCACGTAAGGAAGTAAAACAATGAAGAATATTAAATATCTTAGAAAGCACAGTTGAAAATGACCAAGTAAACCTAAAAAATGAAAGAAACAAGACTTCCAGAATGATGGATTTATAAATGCTAAACATAAAAAATGGAGATAAAAGAGATGCTCAATATTCATTGATTGAGGAGGCACTCATAAAATCAGACATCAAGAAAAGTATCTAGAATTTTCTAGAAGCAGACAAGATCATTTAGGTGTTCAAAAGGTGCTAGAAGCTAGAAAACAGAATTCAATCTACCATCATTTCCAAAAATTATTCCATGTAGGGGCGAGCCACTCCATAAAAATGGAATCAAACTCATTTGCACAAAAAAGGCCTTGTTTGTTGATCATAGTTAAATTAAAGGGGATAATATAACCTCTAAACAAAAAATGGAGATAAGGAAGAAATCAAAACCTAAATTAAATCTTGGAAAAAAGAGGGACACCCATCAAAAGAGCAGGAAATAAAGTAAAGCTCCACATTCTCATAAAAATCTCCCTTTATTTTAGAGGCTCATCACAAGGAGGAATAACTTTAAGGAACATTCTCTAGGTAATTGTCAGGAATATTCTCTAGTTTTTTTTTTTTTGGAATGGTAAACAATAAATCGCAGAGTATGTTGCTCGAACCCGTAAACTTAAAAATACAAATATTTCTTTTAACTAATGGGCCAAAGGTGAATCGAGCCAACACATGAATTGGCTCGAGTTTGGCTCAATAATTGACTCCTGAGCTAAAGAGATAAACTTAAGCCAGTCCGAACTTGACACATTAGCTCACAAGCCGACTAGTTTAAAAAATATTATTATAAAACATACATCAAATATATTAGCATTCATGCATTTAAATTTAGTTAAAAATTATACCTCACTTCCTTATATCAAGTGATATGTATTATCAAATTGCTTATCTTGTAAGATTTGATAGGTTATTTTACTTATTTGTATATACAAATTTTATATATAAATATATATAATCATAGCACCCAACCAAACAACCCCATGCCTTGATAATCCAAAGGAAGGCGTATCAATATAAATAATTAATAACATGAAAGTACTTGTTTTAAAATGACATAAATTACAAGCAATAGCAAGTATAACAAAAACATCGACTTATCAAAAAAACATATAATTAAACTATTAAAGCCATGTGATCAAAGATATAACTGTTGATCTCAATTTTCACTCTAGAGTTCTCCTTCGAGTGACCGCAAATTTCATTCACCCATTCAATGGGTTTATCCGACACACAATACAGTCAACTCAACACAAAAACCTAGAGTTGTCGGCTTAGGCCTCTTTCATTTTCAATCTCTTATCAACAACTTGGCATACTCGAGTTGTTGACTTGGTCATCTTCCAGGCATCACTAGCTTTAATATGGACAATATATGTTTTCTTTTGGTTAGCTTCTTCTTGAGACCTAGCCCCACAAAAGTAGCCTTCTCAGCATCCAATCTCCCTGGTCTCATGCAATAACTTAGGATATTAGAGTTGTTAGATTGAACACCATTCAAGCAAACTCGACTTTACCACTATGTCTTGCTTATTTCTCAGCATCCTAAAATTGTCAACTTGGTCATCTTCTAGTTTTCTCCTTAATGGGACCTCTCCTCGTGAAGTCTCCTGCTCAGCATTATTCCACTTTGGCACCTTACCAATCGCTCAGCATACTAAAGCTATTAGTTTGGTCTCCTTCTGATTGATGTCTTCCCATAGCAAAGTCCTATGAATTTGCCTTTTATGCATATGTACTATTTTGCCTTGCTCACCGCTCGACACATTAGAATTGTTAGCTTGGTATCCTAGAGTTGTCATTATTGGCCTCCTTCCCATCGGCATCTTCTAGAGATCCATTCCTGTGAAGTTGCACACTTGGCATCCCTTCACTCTTAGTATTTATCGACAACTAGCACGTTAGAGATATTGACATAGCATCATCAGCATTGACAACTCACCTTCGCAGTAATTGTCGATAACTCACATCTTGAACTATCAATTGGCACCTCCTCAACAACACACCTTCTTGCCGAGTCATCTACACCTTTGCTAGTATCTCAATATCATAGAGTTGTTGACTAGGCCTTGACTTCTTCTTCTCTTCTCAACACTTACTAACAACTCATCATTCTTGAGTTGTCGTCTTGGCTTCTTCCGCCTAGGTAACTCACCTCTTCAACAAGTCGTTTACTCAATGTTTTCCCTTCTCGGCATTGATGTAGAACATAAATGCAAAAATGATTGGAATAAGAAATTTGCACGTTTTAAATTTAGAGAGCAATAATAATCAAAACTTATATTGATTTAACGATAAGATAAAAACAATAAGGTGATAAAATAAGCTTATGCCAAATCACATGCGTGGACATTAAGATCATAAAATAGTCAATTAATCTAACGTTGTATAAATGGAAGGTTTTCAACAAAATCCCTATGCTAACAATAAGATTAGTCGCTATGCAATGATTTCTCACTCAACTCCCTAAATTACTATGCTTTAGAGGAGGGATCAACAAGAATCTTTGTGAATCAAACTATAACAACAATTGAATGGTGAATTAGGAAGATATAAGAGTAGGAAGAAACGTTTACCAAAGGGAAAGACAAATATAGAGCTCCGGCGTAGTCGCTTTGGTGTTAGGGAAGGAGTGGGCAGCAACACACAACCCCTAGCTGCCTTAGGATAGCAATTCGATGATCTTTGGCGGGTGGGCAGCAAGTTCCTTTGGACTAGTTTCTCTAAACAGCAAACTGAGGCTTTTGGACAGCACACGATGATCTTCGGGTAGCGGGACAGCTTCCCGACACTGTCCATAAATTCTGGACAGCAATGTGACACTCCTAGAGCTAGGGCTTGGGATGACTTTGGGAGCAAGGATGGGATGGAAAGGTGATGGCCGGCCAATGCTAAGGAAAGCAACTTCTTTCCAAGAGGGAATTCTGAAATTAGATTCCTGATTTGGCCAAGTAAAGATGGGGTATTTGAAATTTGAATTTCAAAGAAATAATGGAGAGAATTAATAAAATCTTTCCCCAAATCAATCCTTTAATTTGAAAGGGATTTATTAGGGATTTGGAGAAAAGAAGTGGGCGGATAGGATAGAGGGAAAACTTTGAATTCTTCCCAAATAGAGAGAATTGAAGTTTGGAAAGTATTCAAGCAAGGGGCATGCATGGGGCCGGCGGCATGTATGGTTGGGGGGGACTTGGTGAGGAGTTATGGCTTACCAAATCAAGATCCATTAATTGGGAAAGAGAAATTAAATCCAATTCAATTTGAATTTGATTTGGGCTTAATTTATGGGACTTTCCTAAAATAGGAATCCTCGTTTAGGAAATAAATTTAAACCCAAATTAATTTGAAGTTTGAATTCAAATTTGTTACCCAAATTAAAAGTGCTAAAATAGGAAGGTTTGAGCGCAAAAGGAATTAGTGGGTCAAGGGAGAAAAAGGGGGGCAGCGGCATACTTGGAGTAGGGGTTGATTGTATAGGTTTCCTTAAGTGGTTTCATCTAAAATTAGGAGGAAATAATGGGTAAACTATTCCTCTTAATTTTCATTTAAAATTAGATTCACGAATTAAGCAATTTCCTAATATGGATTATGTCAATTTAGGAAAGAATTAAAAATCTGAATTCGAAATCAAATTTTGAATTGGAGTTCCCTCCTAATCTTCAGGCTCCACTTTTGGAAAGAGGCAAGACAATCAATTTTGGATCCATGGGAGGGGAAGGTCGGCGGTTAGGGTTTGGGATTTGGGTGGCGTTTAGCTGAGGAAGGGGTGTGGGTTAAGTGGAGTGGACTTGGGGTTTGAGGTGGAGAGATGATTGACCGACGGCTTGGCAAGGGGTGCGGTGAAGGCCGGTGGTGGTGGGAGGGGAGAGAGCTAAGGCCGGCGGCTTGAAGAAGAGAGAAGAAAGAGAAAACTCAAAGAAAATTGATAGAACCGCGAACCCGAACTTCTCCTGCGGTTGGTGGGTGATCCGCTTGCCCTTCACACCAAGGGACTTCACCAAAGTTCTCTCCTAGAACTATCACAACTCTCAACATAAACACATGTGCAGGAATTTTTTTATCATTCATTCATTAACCTCATAAGAAGAAAAAGAATGCTATAAATAGGCCCTCATACAAGAACAAAACAAAAGACCAAATTACCCCCTTGGGGTTGCATGCATCTAGTCCCTCAAGTGAGGGTAAAAGTGGAAAAGGACACTAATAATAAAATACAATATATCAATTAGAAATAAAGAGATGCGATCGCAGCCGTAGATCGTCGTCCTCGTCACTGATACACTTTCGATGATCTGATGTCCGCATCAGGCATCTTTTCTGTTACTTGGCATTATATAGTCATCGACATTAGTCGCCTTCCAATCAACTTATATTGAGACCCAATGCCTATTCGGCATATTGCTTTCCCACTTACTGCCATCAACTCAACATCCTACAACTACCAACTTAGCTCATTCATTTCGTCTTTTTGTACTTATAATACTTGTTGATTCTATGTAAAGATTGGATGTCACTTCTGCTCGGACTCTCAACATCTTC